CAAGTTCTTAGGTTCTTAAAATAGAACCTAAAGGTTCTGGAACCAAAACCGAACCTAAACCAACCTAACCATCTCTAGGCTTAACACCATTTTGTCAACGGGGTATCGAAGAGATATTATCTGGTGTATACATCAAATTTTCTCTATTGTTGCTTTGAAAATTGCTAGTAACATAGCCTGCTTCATATATTTAATTTTAATGTAATTGAGATCTAGACTTTATGAAGACCAAGGCTAACCGATTTAGTAATAACAATGCGAGCTCATCATAAACCTCACTTGATATACGTTTTGGATCATTATCATGTGCCATACATATCTATGTATTTGTATTGTCATACACATTGTGTTATAATAATGGTTATGCATAGTGACACGAGCGAAACAGCGAGTCAGTCACTTCTAAATTGGATATGTCGTGTAACCTACGAACAGCTTAGTTGATAAGAGGCGGTTAGATTTGGCGAATGGTGTATTATGATCGTAGGTATTATATTGGAATGAAAGCAATGTTTTATTATTAGGGGGCAGAATTTTATGTGGGTCACGAACAACTAACTGTCTTCTTCGTAGGGCTCAAAGCCTTTATAATATACTTTCGTTTACATAAGGCATGTTATACATTCTATTTGTGATATCGCACTTATATCCTTTATCCCACATATACTAATTATAATGTTTATATCAATGATACTGATTATATTGTTTATACTGATTATTTTAATTATACCCTTGATCCCACTGATATCCATTATTCACCCGATGCATAGGATACATAGTATACAGCAAATACAGCGTATACTGCCCGTTCTGTGCCACTTTGATTACCTCCTTCCGGGATTACAGTCCTACAGCTCACAATAGTGATGGAAATTATCCCAAATCGCCATTATTCTGCCGATAACTACCGGTAAGTAGTAGAACATTAAATAAAACTTGGTGTATATAGAAACATCCATGAATACTTATGTCCAAACATGATGCTTTGGCGTCTAAAGTTGCACATGATCGAAACTAGTATTAGCCTCGAATTAAACTTCTAGTTAGTAAATCATTTTAATCCTTGTATATGTGATAAGGTTTAATCACATTGATAGTAAAACAATAATTCCGGATAAAGATAGCTCTGAAAGTATTTTTGAATTCCAAAATACTTTGGTAAATTCTTGCCGAAAGTGCAAATGCGAAGTTAAATATTTTTAGTTTTTAGCTAACTTTTAGTAAAACTGGACTTTTGGCAGAACTTTTAACGTCCAAATAGTTTGTATTGCTAGTTTTATTTGTATACAATAATATAAAATAATATAATAGCAATATTTTTAATAAAGCTTCAGTAGTTATAGTATTTATAATAATAATAATATTTCAATTTACTAAATAAATAATAGTGCGTAATGATGTAAAGCCGTTTTTACTTCAGAATTCCGACACTCGGAATATCTTAACATTCAAAGAAACACCTACCAGATGTCCATTTATTGTTGCGAGTGATACAAAATCAAAAAAATTAAATAAAGAACCAGCCGGAAAAATGCACAAGAAAAAAATGATAAAAGCAAATACAAAAAACAAGTACTTAAACTTTCTATCACCAAAGTTCTAATTAGGCAAATTTCTTTTTTATTAGCGGCATAAAGTTGAGATTGTCCGATTATTCTTACCTGCATTCTTTATTCACCACACCGTTGTCACACAAACATCGGAGTACGTATCGATAATTTTTTCCTTTATTGTACGAAACCGTTAAAAATACATTGCAAAACTATAATTTCTACCTAAAAAAGAATCAATATTTTAAGATTAAAACAAACATTAACACATTTCCCTGGAAATGATTATTTGTGCGAGAGTTATTTGACCCAAAAAGGAAATTAAATCAAGTACATACATATTAGTATTTTAAAGTAGAATATTAGAATCAGAAGTCATAGGAATAAATCATTACTTACCGGTGGAAAATCTATTCACGTCATTTTCAATTAGTAATTGAGGCATGTTTACGCTTATTTACTTGTATTTTCTCTTTATTCTCTCTTCGATGCCAACATTCCCTTTTTTTGCATGTATCACTCGTACAAAAAATGTACGCCATTTTTGTGTGCATAAATAATCGAATAATTCAACGTAGGGACAAAGATATTATGCTAATTTACGTTCTTTAAATTTCCCTCTTTTTGTAAATAAAAAATGGGTATATCACCAAATGGGTATATCACCAAATGAAATTTCAACATCAAATAGACAATATTTTACTAAGATCAACCAGTTTAAAAGGTGTGAAAACGTCTAAAGTTAGTATAGAACAATTAAAGTGACAAATTCTTTATTAACAATTTGACATCAAACTTCTAGAATTTTTAAAATTAAATCTAATATAGTTGACCCTTCTATTTAGCACTAAGGTTCTGACTAATCATGAGATGTAATAAACAAAGATTTATTATAGTAAATATTTATTTGTCACGCCTAGTGATGTGCCATTTATATGATACTCGGATTTTTTTAGCGTACAGTACGTATAGTACGTATAGTGGGATTTCTTTTACACCATAGTTTCGGAATATTCCGTAATACTTTCGAAATATTTAGGAACTTGTAAATGTTATGCCCTAAACTTCAGAACTTATAAAATGACTGTCAAAATTTGGCGTACAGTATGTATAGTACAGTACGTATAGTACAGTACGTATAGTACAGTACGTATAGTACAGTACGTATAGTACAGTACATATAGTACAGTACATATAGTACAGCACGTATAGTACAGTACGTGGCACATCACTAGTCACGCCCGATGATTGGTCACCCACCATACTATCAGGTGATGTGTGAATTACAATACATATAAATAAATTGTAGTTTATTTTAAAACTACAGTTTTACAATAAACTACAGTTTATTTATATTAACTAATAGTTTACGGATCACATCTCTAATCAGATTGAATTCGAATTTTTAATATAAATTCTGATTGACAATTTATCACTGACAGTATAATAAACTATTAAGATACAAAGTTTGATAAATTCTATCAAATTGTTTTAATGACTCTAAGGACTAATAAATTGATTATTCTAAGTCACTATATTTTTAAAATACATACATAAAATTGATGTTACATAGAATTTAATTTTAGAGTTATTCGATGACATCTTTTAAGGGTAACCTTATATTAGAACATAATACAATGAAACAAATTGTGATTACATTATTATAAAAGCGCAAACTTAAAAAATATATTGATGCATAATCATAATCATATTTATGGAAAAGAAAACCCAGAAATTAATGATTGGTTACTCTGTGTTGGAGGACCTTGCCTTCTAGTGAATGGATTTGTTCCTTCGACTAGGTCAGCGTAATATTGAACAGAAATTGATGTATTATTGAACAAGTTCCGAGACCTTAAAGTCTGTCTGCCAATATTCAAGAATCCTTGAAATTGCCCATTACCATTTTGTGGACCACCGATGTTCTGAGGTCTTTGCAACTGACCATTATTGGTTTGTAATTGGGCGTTAATAATTTGAGCCCCGGATTGGTTCATATTTGTAAAAATTTTTTAAAAAATTTTTGGGGAAAGAGACGAAAAGCTGGGGTTTTTATACATAATGCCTATGTTATAATGGTTGAATGATGCCGATCTTAATTCAGATAGTGCTTGATAAACAAAATTTTATAAGCTCACTGTAGCATGTACGTACAAAAGCAGAAAGTATAACAAAAGCCTATTTAAAGTACTTAATTTTTTATAATTCTTGTTTATAGATGCAATTTATACATATTTGACCTTTTTTACATAGAATACTAATTTAGTGTTAGCGTTATGATTTCCATAGAAACTTTTCGGATTGTTTAGAAATGCACGAAGATAGTGCATGAATTTTCATAAAAATAACTTCTGTTTAAACGTTAGATGAAGCAATTCTTGTATATAGAGCTTGGATCCGGTTATCCATTGGATACGAATTTAATAGTAACATCTGTCGGATATCCGTTAAATTTAATATGAAAACGGATGACCGGATCCAAGCTCTACTTGTATAAGCTATTGAAGATTGAAAAGTATAATAACATTACAGATTATATATGACGTGCTCACGAATTATCCTATCAAAGGTGGTAAAGTTTACTAAATTTGCGAGAAATAACACCGCATATGGGCCAAAATTTTTAATGAAGTGCTGTATAAAATTAGGTGGCATTAAAAACGATAAGTCAGTTCTAAAGCTAGGTGGTTTTTAAATTGATTACTAATAAATTTGGGGATCGTCTAAAGCCAGGTAGTAATTTACATGTGTCACGTGAGTTTTTCTTTCAAATTTATTAGTAATCAATTTAAAAACTATCTAGCTTTAGACGACCTCTAAATTTGTAAAGTATGATCACGTGACACGAATAAATTACTACCTGGCTTTAGATGCCCTCAGTTTGGGTACATATCTTATTTCACGTTTATTATTTAAGGTTAGGTCAATTACATGGGACCTTCATTTTAAAATAGTCTTATCAATCCAGAAACGACCGTTCAACTAAAAAATTGAATACAATATGTTTACACAGTTGTAAAGAAATGTTTTTCATACGCTTTATAATACTTTTCTAAAAAAGTAAGAATAACTTATCTATTAATTAAAATGATTAGCATACTAAGTAACTTGAAGTTTTCCCTGTTTTCGTAATCTTATAACTGTTTTCTTTTGTAATTTGCATGTTTATTTGCTATTTTTGATTGGTTTAACGGAATAAAAATCATTTCAACATTTGGACTCGTGAACGCTGCAACAACAAAAATCAATATCAAGCTTTGGAACATATTTATCCAATTTTTTCACGCATAAAGTAATGTATGATGTAGCTTCTTGGTTTTTCGACTTTTAAAACTTAATTTAAATTGACATTTTCTGAATTTGGAAAGTTTTGATAAATAAGTTCATGAAGATAATTACGAAAAATGTCTGATAACCTGTCAGTTTTAAGTGACTTGTTTTAGAAATAAATGACAGTACTGATTATCCGTACCATCCGTATCTTCAATTATTTGCATCGGCATATCAAATGATATTTTCATATTAAATAAATCAGGTAAGTAATATCTAAATAATGGAGCTAGAATGTCCTGACTAGTACAATGGGAAATTATGTCAAAATATGAAGGTAAATAAAAAATTTTTGCATTACAATAAATTACAATAAATTTTAAAAATATTGCAAGTTGTATGAAAATCGTATTGGCTTATTCCGTTAGGTATATCTGTATTAGCATTTGCTGTAATTGCCTTATCTATACTAACACGTGCTTTTAATATGTCCTCAAAGCAAAGTCTTGTGATTCGTGCATCTAACCCAAATTTGATAAGTATCCAATTATAAAAATTCGATGGTAATGAAAGTTTTATAATTCCATATTCTGTTGTTAATTTTTCATTTTTTCTTAAATAATATTCAAATGCCTTAGTGAATGCCACCTCAGGATTGTTTGTCATGGCTTTATATAGAAAATTCCAAACTTGAGGTTTATTAGAACTGTGCTTAGGTCTTAATGTTTCTATCAAACAACGATTTAACAAGTTATCCCGAGAATCTTGTTTTACATTTATGAATGATTTCACTAATGTTTCACCAATACCTTCTAATCTATCTTCAAATAAATAAAGAATGCTACCAATAACACTATAACTCAGCTGAAAGCCAAGGTCGAGTAATTCAGTGAGTCGTTTACTTATAATCTCCACATCTGGTTGAACCCAATCAGCAGAAGGATTAGGTGGATAAAATATTAAAAGTGCACCTTGCATCACAAGATCATTGACATCATTGCAGATTTCGTAATAGCCAATTTCTTTCCATAACAGGACCAAATCTTTACAAATTAAAATTGCACGAGCAATAACGTTTAATTGTCTATTATTTTCGTAGCCATCCTTGGGCGGGTACTCTTCGGGAATAACTCGCGTTGTACGAAAAGGTTTTAATGGTCTAGGAGGAAACGGAATAAATTTCATATGCTGTATTAAATCTTTAATTGCATTAAGATTTTTTTGTAAAATATTTTGAGCATCACTAATTGAATGAGGACCACCGGTAAGGAAATGAAAAAGCTCCATGTCGTTTCCTTTTATACAAAGTTCGTCTGTTTTAAATAGTTTTTGAGCCACCGCTAGAAAATATGTTAATACTGATAACTGTAAATTACTCTCCCAAGGCATAAGAACATTTTTCTTTAATGATCTAATCCGTTCAAGTTCGATTTGACCAATATTGTGCGTAAGTTTTAGCTCAATTAAATTAAGATCATAACTTCCATAATGTAGAAGAAGTTTTTGTATAAAATATCGAGATAGAATCCCACGCTTCTGAATATTTCTTGCACAACAGAAACGTTAACGAAAGATGGGCCTAATCTCACGGCATGAAAAAGCGCTTGTGCCCTTCCATAATGGTATATAATCCATTCCGCCCTCACATTTGCATTTTTGGCAACATGCGACCAAGCCTTAGAACATAACGTCAAATTCTTGGGACTTTTGACGTACTTAAAGATGGTACATTCTATGGCATCCTCAGATTCTTCGGCCATACTACATATTTACATATAGTGAATTGTTATTTATAATAGCAATGCGGAGTCTTCGCTTCCGTTAAATGCTCAACAGATCAGATATTTTTGATAATTGCTTTGATGAATTGTAGTTTTTGGAAGTTCATTATATTATTCACAAGTTTGCATAATTAGATATATTAAAAGACAAAAAGAATACAGATAAGATATATAATAAATAAAATCTACTATGAATGCACCTGAAATCAAAAAAAAGTCAAGTCATAACATTGGCTAGACACAATGATTTCCTTAGTATAGTATTTTTTATAGTGTTTTTGCTTACCGATTATATTTCATTTAAAGTTGTCATACTTTAAAAAAATAATCTATTGGAAAACAATATTTTTTTTGCTTTTTTTTTTATTCTTGTAAATCAAAAAAAAAAGTCAGATAGTTTCAAAATTTAAAATCACAGGAACTTACGGAGATTGAAAAAATTACCTAAAGTGGATTTTGAATATCAAAAATAATTCCTTATGTCATGGGACTTTCAGATAGTCAAGAAATATTTAGTGTTTTCCATGTGCAAAACGGAATACATTCCTCTGTATTCTAAAAATATCTGAATTTAATTATTTATTTATATGCTTACAAAAAAAAAAAAATCTACAGAATTTACGTGATTGATTGCGAGAGAATTTAAAATAGTTTGTGTAACTTTGTAACGCGTTTTATCATTTTTCTATCAAAATTATCAAAAGAACATATTCATTTTAATATTAATATATCAGTTTTAGTTAAAGTATATAAGGAAATGTTTCAAAGAACTTCTTATTTTAATCAAATGATTTTGATAATAGATTGCATATCTTAATAGAATATATCTGGTTGTGTTTTGGTTTATAAGGCGTAATTATATTACAACTAAAATGACTAATAATATATATATGAAACTTATACTTAATTAGTCACTGTCGTGAACAATATGAACTATTATTTATGCTATCTCTTACACCGTCTTACTATTGTGTAAGGCTCGTAATAATTCGCAGGAGAAGATAGCCGCAAACATTATTAAAATAACGACAGTGAGTTATTGGGCAATAATAAAAGACGTGCCTGTAATAATAAAATCATCTTGATTCATTTGGAATTAGGCGTAAATCACACTAAATACCCGTGATCTTGATAGAATGATGGAGATATTTAAGTTTCAATGAAAAGTCTTGCCAGTGTTATTAAAGTCATATAACCATTATTATAACACGATGTGTATGACAAAACAAATAGATATGTATGGCATCAGAACATATATCAGGTGACGTTAGTGACGAACTTGCATTATATAATTACTAATCGGTTGGCCTTGGCTTCATATTGTCTAGATCTCAATTAAAAATATCCGAATATACGAGCAGGTCACGTTACTAGAAGTTATCAAAGCAACTATAGAGAAAAAAATTGATGAGATAATATTGTCGGGGAAGGTGCTGAAATCGGAAATTTTGGCTTATTTTTTTGAAATATTGAAATTTTTTTGGGGTATTTTGATCTGTTTTTTTTTTTAGTTAGGCTAGAATTTAGGGTTGGTGTTTATAACAAAAGAATTTTAGTAGGGTTTATATTTTCAAATTAAGGCCCCATATTTCAGCATCATCCCCAACATTTATTAATTATTTTGATGATCAGTCGGAGAATCCTTTAATTTCCAAATCAACATTTTCTAGACCATCTTTTTTGGAATTTTTGATGCTCTTAATTAATAAAACAAAATAAAATAAAAAATCACCGTCATTATATTAAAGTTGCCGATCCTATTTTCCTTATTTGGACTTTTTGTGCCTCGTGATTTCGAATTTATAAATCGATTAATAATCAATTTCAAAGTCTTTGAATAGAATTTTGGGGCTAGAATTTGTTTGAAATTTAAAAAACGCGTAAAAGTTCACTCCTGATATTTTGACGAATAGATATAATAGATATAATTGATATCCAAAATGAGTTTAGATATCATTTTCAAATTTTTTTTGTGCGCAGTGTCACCTTGCACATAAAGTTATTGTTATATTACTGTAAACGTAAAGCAAGATACGCATAATAAGAAAATTACCTATACAGTAGATATAAAAGATATACATATTACATTATTTAAATTGTTTATCTACATTATTTCACGCCAACTATCTTGCATATATTTTACGGATTCGTATCATTTCACCGACAATTATTTCATCGACAGCTCATTTAGCCGACATCACACCAAGTGACAATTTACTAAAAATATATACCTGAAACTAATAAAACCCTAACCCTAACTCCACGTGATGTCGGCTAAATGAACTTTCGGTGAAATGACTGTCGGTGAAGTGAGCAGAACCGTATTTTACAATAACCAACTAGAAATTTCAAAATTCTACACATGTGCTAATCTCTACCGAGTTACTCTGCCATTAAACAGGTACTGAAGACAAAATTACGCTTAAACTCTATGTGCAAACCGTTCTGACTGGTTAGCATGTGCTGTTTCTAATTAAAAAAAAATGCTATGCTCCCAAAAACCTTTTCCTGACCTTAAACTAACCATGCATAATAACCCTAAACCCTAAACCCTAAAGTAAAAAAAATCAAGAACTTTATATGTATAAAAAAAATAAACATAAAAAAAAACATGAAAATCTTCGAGACATACAAGAGCAAAACCACTATATTGATTATTGATATATGCGTTTTATAAAAAATGTAAAAATTTTTGTCATGTCTCCTAATATTGGTTTAAGTGTTGTTGGTGGTTAATCATAAGAATTGTAACAAAATGTTTAATGTTAATTCGTAGAAAAAAAGTGCAAACAGTGTATTAAAAATTACAACAAAAATTTTTTTTAAATAAAAACGTAATAACCGCACTAGACAATTTTAGAAAAAAATTATATATGTAAATTTTACTAAAAACGACTGCGAATGTTGCACAATAAAAAAATCTATATGTATAGTTGTATAATGAATTTACTGATTTTTATTTTGTCGTTTGATTTGTTACTTTAGGTTAAAGTATCTGTTCTTTTTAAAGTTACCATTTTTGTATAGCATTTCGAGATACAACTTCTTGAATTTTACCTAAGTTATATCCTAAGTCAGATTTTCTAATAATCTAATAAAGCTCAAAAGGGTTTAAAATACATAGATCAATAGATCTTATTAAATGCTATTTAAATATATATGTCGTGCCTGAAGCAAGAAAATTTAAGGGGCAAGTGCAACCCAAAAAAATTCAGTCTTCAGCTACGCACGTACGACATGTAAAGTATGCTTTTTTTTCATAAATTTGTATATAAAATATGGAATTTACGGCGAATTCCGTATATAATATGGGATTATACTAAATTAGAACTTTTTTCATAGGGTGTTTTTATTATAGTATATTGTATTAAAAACCGGTTAGAATTTATTTTAACATATGAAAATAAAAGTGGTTCTAGTTTTATTGCGTTATTTGAAACAATACAGAAGGACTTCCCTAAATGCACCCCTTTGTGCCATAATAAAAACGTGCACTTAGAGGAAGTATACATTTATAGAAAGTCAAATCTATAGTGCTATTATAAGTTGGGACCAGACTATACGGTGCACTTAGAGATTTTTATAGAAAGTACTTTTATGGAGTGCGCACTTAGGGATGTCACTATATACTTCCGACTAATCAAATCCATTATTCGAATAAGCATCTTATATTAAGCGCATTGAATTTCTTTAAGTGGTAGAATCATAAATTAGTTTAATCTCCGCACGACATTATCGTGTAAAACCAGGAACATAAATTAAAAACAATGAATAAATTCAACGGCTCGTAACTTATCTATTTCAACCCTATTTTTTTATTTTATTTATTTTTTTTTTTTTAACGACTCATTTGATATATTTCATAAAATTTATTTCATTTCTGCTGACTTTTGATAATGAATAAATTCTTCGCCCTTCCCTAATTTTTCATTCTTACTCAATATCCCCAAGCTAGAATACTCATCTATATAAGCTGATTATTGACAATCAATAAATAAATAAAAATAAAGATTAACAATTATACGAAAGGATCTTTTCAAAAGGATTACATTTTCGATGGTTTAAAATTACCTTTTTGATACAGTTAGGTGCATATATTATTTTATTTATGCAGTATGTAGATTAATTTATTAAATCTGCCTCTCAAAAGGGCGTTACACAAGTCGCAGCATATAATATAAAACTGCATATATAATATTACAATACCGACAACTTGATATTTGTTTAAACAATTACGTAAAAAATGATTTAATGCTAAAGCATTGTTTTAAACCATTTTAACTTTAAATACTCACACAATCAGGTTTCTAACAAGAATGGCGTGAGGCGTAGATTTTAGTTGTAATAGTGATAGTACATGCAGTTACGAAAGCCGCAGCATATAATATAAATCAATTAACTCTTTTTAGAGACCTGCATTTGGTCTCACGGCCTGGGCTGGACCTAATAAACAAAATTTATAAATGTGGGCTAGGCCAGGCCTAAAAACAGGTAACTTGCAGCCCCTATTTGGAAGTATAAATGTTAAAAGAAACATAAAAAAACTAATGAGTTATAATTCCGGTCAAAATTGTCGATCATTTTGGTCAAATTTTAAATTATTTTACTTCAGATCTGGTCAAATGATCAGCAATTTGGCCGGAATTATAACTCATTGGGTTTTATATTATCGTGACTGTTATGTTCGGAAGACTGCAACTCGGTCGCTCCACAATTCAAAATCTCTTGCAACCAACGATAGGTAACCTTTACGAAAGGGGGTGTTAGATTTAGCTGGTGGGTGATTAAGGCTTTCAGTTACTTTGGGTCAACGAAGGTCAGTAGTATAAGTCACGTGAATAAGAACTTGAACGAACGACAATGTTTATAGGGGTTTACAGGGTTTATACTGGGTATAGTGTTAGTGTTTTATTATGAACGATACAATGTATTGGGACTGATTAGTTAATAAAGCAAACGAGACATGTTGTTCCTGAGGG